ACCCCTCCCCCGCCTCCCACCTCCCTTCCTCCCCATCCTGCCAGGCCAGACACCCCCCCAACTCTAGCCTCCCTTCCTCCCCATCCTCCCAGGCCAGGCCCCTCTGAGCCTGCTGAAGTTGACCACTCAGGAGCCTCTGCTCTTGGGCCACACACCTATGACCTTTCTGGACTCCCGCCACTTCTGGATGGAAGCCGAGTTCTGATAATCCTCTTCGCCTGTAGGGAGAGAAACCAGGAGAGGGCCTGGAAGGGGGGAAGCCACCAAGGGCTAGTCCTCAGGCCAATGAGGTGCCACGGCTCCTCCAGAGAGGCATCCTGTGCCCTCATGTGGGCAGCGCCTTGGGACAGGAAGGGCTCCCCATAGAGCATTCCCACTGAGGCCCAGGATGATGGGGCCTCCTTCTGGGACACGAGGCAATGCTTGACCCAAAGGCACTGGAGGTACCCGTGACCTTTTGGGCTTCAAGGCGGGCCACGCCTTTGAGCCACGGGGACTTCAGATCTCACCAGTCCCTGCCCAGCTCCGGGCTGGCAGCCTCACCTGAGTCAGGCTCGTGCTGCTTGCAGATGAGCACATTCTCATAGGAATTGGTATCATCATCATCTGCTGGGGAGAGAGGGCTTCATCATGGCAGGCTCTGATCGTCAAGCCTGGCTCTTCCTCCCTCCCTCTGCCCAGCCCTCCTTAGCCAGCCCTGCTAAGCCCACAGCCCTCTGGGTCCCCCAGGGCCTTGAACATTTCCCTGGATAAGCTTAAGGGGTGCTGGGCTGGCTTAGCAGCTGCCACCCTGGGCTCCTTCTCTGTCCTCTAAGGTTGCCCCTGAATGCACTGGGGAGGGGAGGTTAGGGGTTAGGGCTGCATTCAGGCCCAGGATGGATATTTGTTTTGTTTGGTTTTTGTTGTTGTTGTTTTTTAAATATATCTTTTATTGATTTCAGAGAAAGGAAAGAAGAAGGAGAGAGAGAGAGAAACATCAATGATGAGAGAGTCATTGATCGGCTGCCTCCTACACGCCCCCAACTGGGGATAGAACCCGCAAACTGTGCATGTGCCCTGACTGGGAACCAAACCCCGATTGCCTGGATCCTAGGTTGACACTCAACTGCTGAGCCATGCCCGGCTGGGCGAGCCCAGGATGGAGATTTGGATGAAGGGAGGCCTGTCTATCAGGCAGTAAGAACCATGTTGGGCCAGGAGAGACAGGAACCAGATCTAAACCTATCTGGAAGCAGAACCCTTCAGGCAGGGCTGGGTGGACTGAGAGCCTTTGTCCAGGGGCCTAGGCTGGGTATGGCATATCAGAGCCTGGCAACCCAGCATTGACCCCCATTCCAACTGGGAAGCTGAGTCTAACCACTATCCCACCCAGCGTCCATTTACATCAAAAGGACTCTGAGAAATGAGGGCCCCACCCCAACTTGGAAGTGGCAGGGGGAAAGAGAGGACCCCACTCCCTGCCCACCACGGCTCCTCACCCCCACCCCAGAACGGCCCAGGCAGGAGCCCAGGCCTGTACATCTCTCAGCAGGCACTCCCTGCCCTCAGTCCTCAGTTTCTCTTTCCTTAAAGCAAAGGTGTTAAGGGCCTAGAGTTCCAGCATCCTCAGAGCCTGCAGGGCTCAGCATCCATCAAGTCTGCCCATCCAGGGCTTTCCTCTGAGGTCCCATATGTGCCCAGCCCCAAATGGGGCTTGTATGACAAGGGGCCCAGCTTTCCTCCTGTCCAGAGATCTGTCTCTTGCTTCCTCACCCCTGTGGCCCACCCCTAACTCCCACACGTCCCTTTTCTCCTCTGCTCCTGGGCTCCTGCCCATGGTGCCAGCTCCCTCATCTTCCCCAGACTCCTCAGTGCATCCAAACCAAGGCCCAGTCTCCACCTCTGAGTCTCCTAAACGCCTCTGGTCCCACCAGTGAAGCTGAGCTGCGTGCCCCTCCTCCCTACCCCTCTCCTCCCTCTCTGCCTCACCTTCCCGGAGGTTCTGGGACTGCCCCCAGTTGCCATAGTCCATGTTGATGGGGTCTCTGGCAAGAAAACACAACACCAGTTGCTGGGCAGGTCATGGTCGGCGTAGGGGCTTCCTGGGGAGGGGGGGCAGTGAAGCAAGGGCTGCTCCGGCCATCATTCCCCAGGGGCCCATGGGGGCTGGGCCAGGGTCTCCTTCAAACCCTCTATACCACTTCCCTGGACCCCTGAGCCACCTTGGGGCTGAGGGGGTGGTGGCCTGGCAGTAGCCACCTGGCCATGTGACCCTAGGCAAATGTCCACCTGCCCTGGGCCTCAGTTTGTCCATCTGTGAGATATCTGAAGACTGTTCCTCTCTGGGGTTCTAGGTGCCCCTGTAACTTGTCTCTGACTGGGTGATGCAGGATGAATTCCCACACACAGGCCATCCCCAGAGTAGGACCATGTCCCTGTCTCTGTCCCCATTCCCACAAGAGCCTGCCTGGGCCTGGACTGGCGGGTTCTAGGGCAGGAGACCTTCATAAATAAGGAAGTTCAGGGCAGGCGTAGGCAGGGATGGGACGAGGTGCCAGGGCTGGGAGCAGGCCACTCACATGTATGATGCATCTGATGTGTGTCTGCGTCCTGCAGGAGGAGGCAGAGTTAGGCCTAAACTCCTGGAGGTGGCCCCACCGCAGCCCCCAATCCCTGGAGCCCACCTACCTTTCCTGAAGTTCTGGTACCTTGGGGACGCAGGATCTGGAAGAAAGGCCAAGGGTTTCTTACCTTCGCACCTTTGCACCTGTTCTCTGTCCCCTCCCCTACTAGGCCAATCCCATCAGGCCTCCCAGCCTGGCTGTGTGTCTCCTCTGCCCTGGCTCCCCTGGTCCTCACCCAACCTCCCCTGCACCCCTGCACAGTACCTGTCCCGCCAGGGATTTACCTGTCTCAATCTCACCTCACCCCTGCCCCACTCCTGCGTCCAAGTGTCACTCACCCTCGAGGCTTGGGGAGAACCACAGCAGCTTATCCTTCCTGCAGGGGAGGGGGGAGTAGGGGCTGAGGAGGGCCTGAGGGGTGAGGAATGGCCCTAGGGTTTTTCAGGGGATTTGAAGGCCTCCTGCTGGGGCTCTAGAATCCAGCTTGAGGTCTGAGGAGGGAGTAAGGTCTTGGCCTGGACTCAGCCAGGTTGGGACCCCCAGGGTCCTCTTCATTACCTCCAGTGGGGGCTGTGACTCCCCTGGGCCCAGGACAAGGGGCTCATTCCTACCTTGCTGGTGCCAGGTCAGAGGCTGTTTCCATCAGGGAGCCTGGCCAGACCTGCCCGGCCACTGCAAAGGACAAGGAAGTGTTGGCTGGACCCCCCAGGCCAGCTTGTCAATGTAGCCCCCTCACCCCCTCACCCTACCAGGTCAGGTGTGGCCACCACCTCAGGGCGATGAAGGCAGAAGGGACTTTGATACGAACCCCCCCACCCCGAGCCCGGCCCCTGGACTCACAGGAGTAGGTCCGGGTCACTGCAAAGTTCTGTTGGTTCTCTTGCCTGGAAACATACGGGACTGTTCTGAGCTAGGGCCCGGCCTCCCACAGCCCAAGGGACAGAGAGGAGAGATGGACAGATGGGGTCAAGGAACAGAGAGGAGGGATACACCAGAGCAAGAATGAGAAGGAATTGCCACCCCTCCGGTCTCAGAGCCAGAGCCCTGCCCCCTGGTGCCTCGTTCCCTGGACTGCTCCCTGCCCCTGCCCACTGGGTGCCTGCACTTTCCACATGGCCCTGGCCTGGAGCAGCTGCCAGAGACCCCCAGCCCTCAACATGGCCTACCCAGGAACCCTCCGAGATGGTCAGGAGGGTCTATGGGCAGGGCTGGGGAGGCAGCCCCGAGACTCTGGGGTGTGATGGTTGGGGTGACTCCTCAGGGACCCAGCGGTGACTTCAACCCGAAGCAACAAGGAGGCTGCCCCTCACCCCCATCTACCACCCCAGGAGTGTTTAACATTCCTAAGAGAGCACACCCCTCAAGCACACCATTTACTACCTAATAACTGATGGGGCTACTTCAGGGTGAGCAGACACAGCCAGGTGTCTGGCCATTGCCCAGTGTCCCCTTCTTCCTTTGAAACACAACCCTGACTTTTGTTTAGCCAGCAGCATGCCCATCTACAAGGCTGCATTTCCCTTGCCCCTGAGTGTGGCCACGTGATTAAACTCTGTTCAGTGAAATGCAAGCCAAGGTTGTTGGGGTTTCCGGGAAAGTTCCTTAAAGGAGTCACTGACAACTGGAGTACAGCCTTTTTGCTCTTCTCCTTCACTCTTACTCCTGCCTGAAATGCAGAGGTGAGGGCTGGAGCCCCAGCTGCCATTTTGGACCACCAAGTGCCCTTGAGAATGGAAGTCACCACTAAGGATGGTGGAGCAGGTTAGTTAACCATGAAAGAATTTTGGGGTCCTCCTCTGGACTAATGTGGGTACCTGGCCCAGCCTTCCAGGAGCTCCTGGGGTGCTGGGGGTCAAGATGACCTGATTTAGGAAGGATGCTCTAAATTTACAGGACAGAGTCAGGCATGGCTTCTCGGAGGAGGTATTGCAGGAGCTGGGCCTGGCACACATAGCAGTTGTTTCGTATAGGCTGGCAGGACTGAACCCTAGGGAGGTGGGGAGAACCCAAGCTTCCCTTTTTACCCCCTTCCACCCTGGCCCCATTTTCCCACCCCTACGTGAGGAGGTTTAGTCCACAGTTCTAAGACCAATTAGGGGCCTTGAGTGGGCAGGGACTGAGGGAGGAGGGGAGAGGGGAGACACTGAGGAGGCCTGCCTTGCCCCAGAAGAGCAGGGGACACCAGGGGAGCCCAGCCCACCCCTGGTGGAGTTTGTGGGCCGGCAATCTAGACAGCCAAGTAGCCAAAGATGCCCGGAAAGATCCAGCCCTGGCCCCAGGGGTGGGTCTGGATGGGGAAATTCTATTTTCAAATCTCACTGTGGTTTTTCAGTTGCAAAAGGAAATGAGAAAGGGTGTGTGTGTGCGTTTGTACGTGAGTAGCCACCCGGTGTGCATATAGTGCTGCATGTGTGAGAAGTGCACGCATGAGCAAGTATGCAGGGAGCGTGTGGGTATGAGTGGGCGTTCAGGCCTGTGCACATGTGCACATGCAGGCCTCAGGGGTTCCCCAAGCCCTCCATCAGTCCCTCTCCTAGTCAGTGTAAGGACGCCAATGGCCGCTGCCCCCTTGCCTGGGGTTGATCTAGGGCCAACCTGGTCTGCAGCGTCCAGCACTGCTGACCCTTCCAGGACTCACAGAGCAGCCCCTCTGCTCTCAAGATGCCTGGGGCTCCGTCACCTGGGTCCCACCACTCTGCTGGGCTCACTGACCCCATATTTCATCTCTACCCCATCTCCCTCCTTCTTGTTGCACACAAGCCCCTGCTCCCAGCTCTTCTGTGGCCCCTTTGGCCCTCAGAACGAAGGCCAAGGCCTCTCCCCACCCTCATCCAGCTCATCTCTCCAAGACACACGGTACCTGCCACCTCATCCCTGGAAGACAGTGTCCACCCTGGTCCTCTGTCAGCGACTGCCCACGCTGTTCTCTCTCTCTTTCTCTGGAATGTCCGCTTTTGCCTCTTTCTCTCTTAAAATCTTTGCCACGTCCTCTATCAGGCCTTCCTTAATGCCCCGAGGGACATGCCCACAGCCTCCCCTGAGCTCCTTTAGCATTTTTCAGGGGAGACTCAGACACAGTTCACATTTCGCTTTGTGCCCAGT